ATATATATATATATATATATATATATATATATAAAGGCATTTTAAACACTTCCCATGCTCTTGCAGTATCCTAAACGATGTTTCTAAACGCTCTAAAAGAGCACAAAATGTCATGATTTCAGCTCCCTTTCTCGTCTGCTCTTTGCCACCTGCAAGCGCTCTTGGCCACGCCCACTTCTCCGTTCTGCGTGGTGAAGGAGAACAGCTGTTCATGCACGGAAAACAGCTTATCAGCTACAGCAGGAAGTTTATCCTGCAATATGGGCTGCACAGAGGTGCAGGAGGAAGCTTTTTCTGCAGCTCTGGGCTGCACAAATGTGCAGGAGGTGCTAAATTATTTTAAATAAATTATTTTGAATTTAAAAAAATCCATGCCAATTGGCTCATCCATCTATCAGCCAATTGTATGTCATGTCCAATCATATTTTGAAAAACCGCGACAGAGCAAGTCCGCGATAAACGAACCGTGAAGTAGCGAGGGACTACTGGACTCCCTTAAAATTGTACAATTTCTTAGTTTGAACATTTAACATGTTAATTATGTTCCACTGTAAATAAAATAAAAGTTTCACAAATTATTGTTTTATTTACGTTTTACACCATACCCCAAACTTTTCAGAAGTGGAGTTGTAAGAACCAAACACTCTTATAATGAACAGTTCTAGCTTTACGGAGATCTTTCTTATATGGTAGCAGGCTATTTCTCCAAGTTAAATAAAATTCTTCCATGTTAGTGGAGCACCATATGTTGTATATTTAGGGCAGAAAATATGAATAAAACTAGAATGCTAATAACTTAATGCGAATCTGTCGACTTATTGTTGGTTTTAGGCAGTTGTAAAATTTCACTTTCAAACATACAATAATACTGCTGGACTTGCAAAACTCAAAACACATGCAGCACTAAGGAAATTTTATTTTTCTTTCCCATGTATTTGGACATGCATGTCCTCTCTCATTCATTAGGGGGTGCTACATCACTTTTTTCACCCCTACTTCTTCCAGCCTTGCAAGCAGCCATAATATTCCTGTAATGTTTGTTTTCTTGGAAGTCTTAGCAGAAAACATGAGCTTAAGTCAAACCAGTGTTGTGGACCAACTTTACTGCAAAGCTATTTTGCTACTCAGAAAATTTCAATATATTAAAAATAATAATAATACTGCGACAGTTTGTACTAAAGGTAGTAAAAAGAAAAGGGTGTTTCTAACTGTACATTTACTGTACTTTACTCCTCCTCCCCCAACACCCCCAAAAGTGTTGATGTCACACAGCAACCTTCAACAATTCTACAATGGAGGTGGTAGAGGAGGTAAGATTGGCCCAAAACGTCCATGAAAAGCTCTGTTGGCGCGACTGATGTGGTCCACATTTGGTACCCCCCCCTTTTTTTTGTTCTTTCCCTTTTGTGGTGAAGAAACTGTCCCTGTCCTTTTGTGTCTGTAATTACAAAAGCCAACGTAGGAAGAAATAGATAAGCGACTAGAAGAAAAAAAAAGTGTTTATGCATCTCAAGGTTAGCCTCTGCTCCACTATCTTTTGGTTCCCTGCAAGCTTTCATATAAATATATGTTCCTTGTATTTATTCACAGTTTACTTTATAATTTAACACATTAAAAACTAAAATAACAATGTAAGAAAGACTGAAAGTTCCTGGAGCAGAGGAAAACCTGGAAGGAAGGTGGGATTGCAGCTGTCTTTGGAAGCCTTGATTGTTTGCATGCTACTTGTATGTAGCACAGTTGTCGGACTGTAAATGTGTTTGCGTTTGATCTGTGTCCTGGTCGTCTTTAATATGGTATGACTCCTCAGAGCAACTCATTTGACCCACTTTGTTTTTGTGTACCTCGTGTCCTGTGTCGATGAAGCATATAAATGAATGATAAAACTGATGGGATGAGGTTTTGATGAGTCGATAACTAGAACTAGAACATGTGCTTGTAACAATTGGGTTTGGATATTGCTTTTTGGGCTCAGACGTGAAAACACATGGAAACATGATCAATGGTTAAATGCTTTAACATCACTGCTGTTATTATCAGTTACACTTGTACTTTGAAAAAAATATTTCTATTAAAGCATTTCGATTATTCAAAAGATAAAATGCTCAAACTTAAAATAAGATTAACTTACTGGAGTTCAAACTCTTCAACGTTCATTTTGTTTTTTGCTTTAATGTAACTGAAGAAGAGAACACCATTGTTGTTTTTAATGTGAGAAAAAAACGAAGTTTTCAAATATGGTGTCATTACATCATTACCAATGTAGATTTTTTTAGTTCTCAATAACAATAAATATGGACTAAAACATCTTTAAATTTAAAGTAAATAAACCAAGCCCAGTTAAACAAATTAATTCACTTTTTATATTTTTGTAGTCTGTAAACACAAAACTATTTGAACCTTCAGGGTTAGAGTTTTGTATTTTCTGCACACGGGGAATAAAAGTATTTTGTGCATAGCCTGGTATGTGTGGCCTCACCTAAATATATAAAAGTAAAATACCTAAAATACTTGGCAGTTGCCTTCACTAGATAGTCCTAGTGTGGAAATTGTGTGCAGGATCTTTGACATAAATGCAAGAAATGAGTAATCCTCTGCAGAAGTCTTTGTTTTCAGCCAGAGTTTGAACACTAAACATCTTACATGATGGCAAATGTTACAGATTTTAAATAAAGTATAAATCAAATGATAAAAAATACATTTTGAAAAATATTTTTGATGGTAAGTTTATGATTTTTTTTGTGATGACGAGCTTCTCCATGCGTTGACACTAATGTAAGTAACCAAAAGTCCTTACAATCTATAGAAGATTTAATATAATGATACATACATGACAAGTCTGGTTTCATATGACTGTCTTCTTTTTTCTGCAGACAGAGAAAATACCTGAGCTTTTTGTCCTTTACTTTCATTTGTTCTCATATTTGCAACAAATGACACAAATATTACAAAGATTTAACAGGCAACGTAATTCTTTAACCATCTTTTCTCACTGTCACTGTCTTCTTCCATCTCTGGTGTTACTTCTGACTCCCTTGTTTTTGCTGCATGCTCTCTTGGCATGAAGGACCTGAATGGCCGTGCACTTTTTGACCTGTCCCCTTTTTAAGACCACTTTGCACCCAGAGGTTACCTTTTATGTTTTGTCTGTCACAGCATGCCAGGATTGCCTCTTTCTTCCCATGTAAAGAATTTTGGCTCTAGTCCCCCCCAAAAAATCCTTAGTTTTTATCCCACTTTTTGTCCGTTTTTTATTATTTCGATGGGTTTTTGTCGTGCGCTCAGTCAGTGCTGGCTCCTCGGCTTTGCATGGCACCGTGTGTTAGCGTAGACGTGTTTGTAAAGAGGGATGTTCTCTTTTTTCCAGCAAAGATGTCACGGAAATTAAGCTTGCCTACTGAGCTAAAGCCAGACTTGGGTAAGCCTTGACTTCGTGTCTCCAAACAGTTTATACAAAAATGCAAGTTTGCTTTTTTTCCTTCACTCTGACTGGACTTCCACCACATCCCCCACTGGTCCAGTTTTCTCTGGTTTTTAGTCTCAAAATTGGCAAGCCGTGCAGATGTTCTCCTGAGTTTGCATGAGTCGGCAGTAGCACTGATCTGATCTGAATTGACATTTATTGAGCTGAATCAAATTGTTAGAATTAAATTGTCACTCTTTAAAAAAAAAAAAAAAAAAGGTCAGTGGTGCTAAGCTAATCTTTGCACACCCTTTTTCACTAAAGCTTTCTGTAACTTTTGCAGCTTTCTGTTTCTAATCTGCGTTCTTTACTTTTTTCTTTCTGTGTCTAATTGAGTTTTTGAATATGAAGGGTTTTTTTTTGTTTGTTTATTCCATAAGACTCAAACCTTTCTTTAAAGTAGCAGAAATGTGTGAAACTTTGGATTTCAAGACCGTTTATAAATACTTTTTACAATGAAGTGCCATAAAAATACTATTTGGAGTTGGGTCATTTTAGGTGAATGACAGAGGAAAGAAGTTCATGATGATGCTTTGCTGAAAGTTTAAAACTAAAACAATGATTTCAAGAACATAAATAAGCCACGTTTACCTCTTTACAGTTAAAATATATATACCCTGTATTAATATTTGATTGGGAGAGAAAAACTAAACAAAAATGCCACCCAGCTCTTTATTTTCTATGTACAGTTCAGAGTTTGTGCAGGTGCTTTACTTCTCTTTGTTTTCCTCTTACTGTCCTCCTGTCTGTGTGCCCACCGCGGGGTGCCAACCCATTAGACCACCGGGACAACTCCTTCAGCCGCTCGCGCTCCTCCAGCGTCACCAGCATCGACAAGGAGGCGCGAGAAGCCGTCAGCTCCTTCCACTTTTGTGAGAGCTTTGCCCGGAAAGGGGACAGCACCCTGACCCCCTGCCTTTATGTGGGCACCTCCCTGGGGACTGTGTTGGTACTGGCGCTCACGTTGCCACCTGCTGGTGAGCAGCGGCAACTACAGCCGGTTATTATTTCACCTGCAGGTGGGTGACGTTTTTCAAAAAGTGCGGTCAATGA